AATTCCGTATTGCGAGGACCAGGAAAATTATTTTGGCTGTCTTTCAGTGACTGCCATGGGCAGCGACAAGGCTGGTGGACAGCCGAGAGGATATGCACACTGCGCAGCTGATACAGCTGTTTTCGGCGTCAGGACAACCCAACATTAATGTTCATTGATATGTGAGGTATGCAGATGCCTGTTACCGTTTGTGGCCTAGTTGTCAGTTGGCAATTCATATGCACTGTGAATGGGCTTAGGAGTCGCCCCCGGTAAACCCCTCCCCCCTCCATCATGTCGCTTATCCTGGCTGTGTCTCTGAACCGACGAGTGGAGGCTGGCGCTCGAGTTCCTAGAGACATAGGTCGAGTTATGGCGCCGCGATTTTTTTGTTTTGTTTTTTTGCTGAGGAAACTGGGTTCCGTGGATCAGCCCCCGGTGTTCCTCCGAGGTTATTCGTGCTTTCTCGTTGCCCTACGTTTGGTCCACTCCTGAACTGAAGGCAGTGGCAGCAGTGGTGCGTTTCAGAAGCACGCATTTTGTAATAAGGTCAGAATTTGGGTGCTCATCGAAAGAGTTTGAGAATTAAAGGAACCCGCGTTTTAACTGTTGGACAGGACGCCATGATCTCGTTGTTTTCCCAAACGATCAAATCAAAGGTCAGTCACGCATGCAGCGCAACCCGATCTGGCCCCAGTCAATGATCCTTCGTGATCTCTGCAAGATAGCAACTAGCCCCCATGGTCTGGAGAGAGGCCCTGGGCTCGTCATTCGGTGGCACTGGCCGCGGGCCCCTGGCGGGGTGCACTATTTGGCCAGGCTGACACGAAAAGGTCAGCTGGCAGCTGGCCAATGAACATCAGTCCCGACTGGGAACGGCCGTTCTGCAGCGTTGTGCGGCGCGAAAAACCTCGGGTTTGGGCTCAGGGTACGCTTAGCGAGCTTTCCTTCGCAAGTACTCTGAATCGAAGGATTCCCCCGTGCAAACCAGTTAGAATAGTTTAATAACTGAGCTTTTACCGCCGGTAAGAATGTGGTGAATTCACAACAGTATCATTCTCATCATTATTCCTGAGATATAGTGCTATATTTGTCCAGTCTGAGCTCAGGCTGGCGAACATTCCGCGTGCGCGTGCAGGTGACATTCCCGTGTGTGCGCAGTTATGAGTGATTTTCACGGTAAAATCGGCATTTCAACGGGATAAATCTTGGTTGGTGAATGGCCGAGCACTTTGACTGGTGCATTGGTAAAAACAAAGGTCCTGGTGTGGATTGGCGCGTCGTGACTCGAGGTTGTTGTGCGTGATTGATGAGCGTGCAGGTGAGACATGTGAGGGCTGTGAGCTTGCTCTCAACAAGACACGTTTTTTGTATTCTAAGCTTCAGTGACGATTTGTGCAAAATGGGTTGAGTGCGTATATTGCTGTCGACACACGGTGTCTCGATTGTCGGTCTCAATTTTGCGTTTTGTCCTTCCGTCGGTCTTGGACCCCGCAACCAAAATTGCTTCTTAGACCTTGCTGGGGCCAACAGTCGTTGACAGCGGTGGTGGCCCGGCCAGCCACCTTTCCAGCCGTCGGCATCTCGTCGGTCACTGGGTATGGCGCCACGCTCCAGGTCTGCTCGCTCCAATGTCGGCCGGCCATGGCCGCATGAGTCGGGGTTTTGATAATGGAACATTTAGTTCTCAGACAGTTGCAATAATTACGCAATTCAACGGGCATCGTCGGCACGGGCTGACTGGGGATGGAGCGCGAAGAATATAACAAGAATCGCGCTTTACATAATGGTCCGGTTCGGTCGCGCTGGCCGTAGTGATGGGCCTGAGCTGGGCTGCGCCGGCGAACTTTCCGGCCTTGTGCCGGTGCGTTACGTAACGGCTTATATAAGCGGCCAGCAGCGGCCGTCGTCGGCGCAGAGCGCTGTGGGCTCGGGCGGGGACCGACCGGCTCGGCTCCGGCCCGACCCCCGCGCCGGCCGCCCGCGCGCTGCGGCCGCGCTCACGTTCCGCCCAGGGGCGCGCGTGACCAAAGCCGGCGCCTGGGCTGCGGCGCCGAATTGGATTGTCAGCCGGCCGATGGCGGCGGTGGGGTGTCGCCGCGGGCGCCGGCTGGCGGCGGGGTCACAGCCTTCGCTCGCACCCCATCAGATGGCGGAACGGGTGCGTCGCATCACCACCCGACCCCAGAAGCTCTGGTTGTGGGTGGGAAGGCCTGGACGGTTGGCTGCGCGGAGTCGGACGAGGTTTCCCGGACGCGGGCTCGGTATCAGCCACGCTCGTGTTGGCGGGCCGCTGATGGTTGTTGATGCCCATCGCGAATCGTGATGCCCCTCGCGAATCATGATGCATGCCAGTTGCGGGGTCCTCGTGCCCAGCTTGCAACTGGGATGCTTCCGGGTCTTCAGGCTCGACCGTCCCGTTGTAGTGGCGTCCACCGTTCTCTTTCTGTATTCCCGCTGCATGACGCGCTGGGCCACGAGCGACAGCCCGTGCTAGCGCGGGGGACACGACCCGTGACACCGGCCGGTGCCGCGCGGCGCCGAGCGCAGCCGCGCGTGACTGCCTGCGGGCCGGCTGCGCGGCACCGATCGGCACTGTGCTGACCGCCGGCCCGTGACGCGCACCCAGCCGCCTGAGAAGAAGCACGGTAATAATATAATAAGAATAAACACTGGCCGCGCGTCATAAATGCGACCGGTCTTGGTTCCGGGACGGTCCGGGACGGCCATTGACTCCCGTCTTTGCGCTGCCAATTGTCGCGCAGCGTCCGGCGCGGCGCGTGTGGAGATCTTCGGCCGCCTAGTCGCGTGAGGTCAGCGGCCGGGGATGTCCTGGGAAGAGTGACGTCATTGATGGCAGCGCCGGCGGGTTGTCGTCAGCACCGCGCGCGTGACTTTCACATGACCTTCTGGCTAACGCAGGCAGGAAATATATTATGAAAAAGGTGTGGCGCAGTTGGCTGGCGGCGGATTTGCAACGACGTGAGTGGGTGGGATCGGGAGCGGTGAAGTGGCCTGTGTCGGACTTCGCATTGCTGCGACGGACGCAGCACCTAGCTCCGATCGGCCGCCCGGTCAGGAATTCACAGCTGCGACTGGGCTGATGCCAATGCGGCCGCGCCTGCCAGGGCCTGTAAATACAACTTCGATTGTAACAGATTCAGTTCGGCCTGACCGGTACAACCTCAGCGGATTTTGCATCCCGGCGTCAGATGTGTCCTAAACCGTTGTCTTCTTTTCTCTGACGTTGGGAGGGAGGTGGGTCATCCCCAGCTCAGCAGCCCCTGCTATTAGCTTATTTTGTGGATCTAACGCCCAAGCCTCATGCAATATGCATCTGGTTGGGATCAAACGCGCACTTCTTTGCTGATAAGCATATACGTCCGTGTACTTGTATTGTGTAATTTTTGTAGTTACCCCAATGCTTACTTCGTCACTCTCATTTATTTGCTCGGCAGGGCGTAATGTTTTTCACACGTGGTCCGCGTAGCGGGGCGAGCGGTGATCTTGAGAACCTTAAACGGCAATCGTAGTGTGAGATTACGTGCAATATCAGCTGTGGGAGCGGGCGTGCTGAACCCGTGGGCAGTGAGTGGCAACCGCTGCTCGCTCCGGGCTTGTCGGCCAGCGAAATCAATGACGATCCGCTGGGCGGCCAGCTTCCGTCTTACATAAGCGAGGCATTTTGCCACGTATCCGGGGTATTCAGCCATTCGTGCTTTTCCAAAGCATCTTCCCGTCCACACTTCACGGGGTTGTTGTCTCGGTTTGGGGAATCGCAGGCCGCAGCCGTTGGAAATGGCGATGCCGAGCGGCGGCTGGTTTGGCGTGCCCGTTGATCTTTCGTTGCTGGCCTATCGCGGGCCGCCTCGGCCGCACCTTACGTAAGTGTTCAGCCCGCTGAAAAACCAGCACTAGCCTGCTGAAGGCCTGACGAGCCCCGGCCAGCAGCGAATCCGACCCTGGCCGGCAGGGAACCCGGTGCGTAGCTCGAACCTTCACTGGACTTAACTGCCTCGCTGGAGCTCTGAGTCCAGCCCCAGACTGGATGACCGCAGGAGCGTGGAGTTCCTCCCGAACGGACTCTTGTTGGCTGGGATGCCTATCGATTCCGTGATTTCTCCGAGTTTATGTGCTACGATAGCAGTCCATTAGGAGTCAAATATTGTGACAAAGCCTAAATGGCTTAAGGTAGAAATATTATGGTAATATTGTATTTATGGTTGGATGTTCTGGAGATCTACCGCGTGGGCTGAACTTCGCGTACCGCAATCAGTTCAGGCGATACGTCCGTCTCAACGATTTTAGCCAACTAAGCTCTACCATAGTGGTTCATAGTGGTCCATAATAACAGTATCAGATTACGGTATTTAGTTACGGGCATCTTTTGGTGTCTGTTGTTACCAATTCAAACTGATTTGCTATATTTCGAGCTAGATAATTGTCACGATGGGCTGCAATGGGTAGTACGATTTCGCTGGCTTGCCATACCTTCGTGGTCTGTCTTCGTGTGTCTGCACTTCTTCATATTATGTCTGCCGGATAAAGCACCTTATATAAGAAGGCTCTCCGAAACTATGGCTCAGTGCGCATTCGTGCCAGACCCCGTGAGCAACCGGGCACTGTACTTCGCGTCCTGTCGGGAACAGATGCACCACCACGTAATGCTGCGAATGTTGTTATGTGATTATTTGAACCACAAGTTACCGCCTGAGCATGGACTATGCGTGATTCATTCACCTCTCTCACTCTTGTCGCGTCCCGTCTTCACTGATCACCGTTTTTGGCTCCACGGCAACAAACCCGAACCCTCCTTATTACCGATTTCGTGTTCTTTCTCATCACCGAACCCGTGTTCTTCCTCCTCATCACCGACCCCATGTTCTTCCTCAGCAGCGATCACGTGTCCCACTTCGCCAGCGGCGGCCAAATGCCGCTGTCGCCAGCAGCGACCCTGATGACGTCACAGGACGGCGCTGACCTCCGCAGTCTCTGTGCTGACCGCCGTTGTCCCTCCGCAGCACCCCACGACCACATCACGCTGAGCAACCGGAGTCACGTGCTGAACAAGCTGTCGCGCAACTCGGAGGCTCTCCGCGATGCCGAGTCGGCTATCCAGCTGCAGCCCTTCTGGGCCAAGGTCGGTGGACGGGCTGCGCGCTCGTGCCGGATGTGCGCTGCTACAGCCACTGGAGCCCCGCTGTCCGTCGGCAGCAAGCGGGCGGCATGCCGGGCCGGCGGGCCGCGCCCATGGTCGTGACCGGCCCTCGCGGCGGCGGCGGCGGCGCGCGATGAGGGCGCGCAGGCTCGCTGGCGGCTTACGATGACTGCTGGGCAGGGACGCCCGCCGAACGTGCCATGCTTGTTAGGTTTCTAATTGGCATGCTCGTGTTTCGGCGACCAGAAAGGGTGCGGAACATGCAATGTGTTCTGGGTTTGCTGCTTGGTTGATACAAGTCATGGTGGCGTGCAGTTCCTAACCTGTGTAGGCGTCTTGTTTGCGCAGAAAGTCGTTTTTGTAACATGCTTGGTCGCATTTTCTGACGTGTTCGGGGATGTCATGTGTGCAGTGGTCTTTGTGTGTAATCTGATTTACTGTTTTCAAACGGCACCCCTTGTTTATTTTCGGAATGCTTTGTGATGAAAAGTTGCGCTTCGTGTCTCAGAAGGGCGTCTTAAACTAATCCCATCTGTGCAATGGGGATAGGGCGCTTCATCACAAACAAATGGAGCCATTTACCAAAGGCGAAGCCCATTGTAATCAGGGAGTTGCGAATACCCTCGGCATTTTTAATCAGTAACAACCTTTATTATGTAATAATTCCGGAAAACTCAGTGCACCGATGGTCGGAATTGCTCGGAGGGACTGAAAGGGTGAACCGCATCCGGATTGACACTGCACCAAGTTTCCCTCGCTGCAGGCCATGGCTGAGTGACCTCGTGACGTCACTGTAAGCCCTGCTGGACCGCTGGCACGCTGATGACATCAGCCTGTGACGTTCCTTACCGTGTGTGGACGGGGTGTGTGACGCTCCCCCGTGCCGTGTGTGGGTGGGGTGTGCGACTCTCCCCTGTGCCGTGTGTGGACGGGGTTTGTGACTCTCTCCCGTGCCGTGTGGGTGGGGTGTGTGACGCTCCTCCGTGCCGTGTGTGGACGGGGTTTGTGACGCTCCCCCGTGCCGTGTGGGCGGGGTGTGTGACGCTACCCCGTGCCGCGTCTGACGCTCCGCTCCGCCGCAGGGCTACTTCCGCCAGGCGGCCGCTCTGAGGAGCCTGGGCCGGCTGGAGGACGCGCTGGTGGCGTACGTGCTGTGCGCCGCGCTCGAGGAGACGCCCTCGGCCGTGCTCACCGAGCTGCAGCTGGTGAGTGGGGCGTCACGTCGCGAACGTCGCCCCGTCTCCCTGGCAGTGGGCGAACCGCTGGACAACTGCCCTGTGACTGGCTGCGCCGGTCCGACGCCCGCCGCCGACCTCCGGATGTGACCGGTCGCACCGCCGACACGCCGTGTCACTGACACGGCTGACGCTGTCACACCGCGTCACTGACACGGTTCACTGACACGTCATGTTACTGACACGGCTGACTCTGGCACATCGCGTCACTGACGCGGCGTACGCTGACACGTCAGCTTACTGACACGGCTGACACTGGCACATCGCGTCACTGACACGGCGTACACTTACACGTCACGTCGCTGACACGGCGGACACTGACACGGCGTGTTACTGACACATCGCGTCACTGGCACGGCGGACACTGGCACGCCGTGTTACTGACACGTCAGGTCACTGACACAGCGGACACTGGCACGCCGTGTTACTGACACATCACGTCACTGGCACTGACGCGTCACATCACTGACACGCCGACACGTCGTGTCACTGACATGACCGACACTGACGCATCGCGCCACTGACACTGGCACGTCACGTCATTGACACCCCGACACGCCGTGTCACTGACACGCCGCGTCTCCGCAGCTGTTGAAGCGCATTCTGCGGCGGCGGCAGCACTCGGACGGCCACGTCAGCAAGCAGCGGCGGTGCAGTGACTCGGAAGCAGACCTGATGCACCACAGCGACGACAGCAACTCCAGCACGGTACGGCCCCGGCCCCGTGAAGGGCGGTCTGCAAGTGTGGGAGCTGCCCATGTGTGCAAACTGTGGGAGCGGGTGAAAATCGTGTTGAGGGATGATCGTTGTTTGGTGTGTTATTTGCCTGTCGCATGACATCCGGCACGGTATTACCTGTTGATGTAGGATGCGTTTTATCGAGCCTGCCGGGACTTTGTGTAAAAGGGAGCTGCATATGGAAGCAACGAGCCGTATGTGGAGGGGTTATTTCGGTCCTTTCCCACGCGTATTTCCTGGAAGCCATAGAATCGGCCGGCCAACATTTTGCTCGAAGGTGACCTTCCGCCCGGGGTCAAGTACATTATCGCCGCGGGCTGACACGTGCGCCGCAGCAGCGTCGGGCCGTGCCGCGCCCTCATTTCTCGCGGCGCATGCCCGCTGGCGGGTAATGCTGCCGGCCTCCGCTGGTCTGACGCCAGCAGCTGCGCTGCCGGCGCTGGCCGGCGGCGTCTGCTGCGTGCGTCCGACCAGCGTTGCACGCTGGACGCCAGCTGCGTGAGCAAGCGCGCCGCGCCCGGGGCCGCTTACATAACGGGCGGCCGGGCGGCCGGGAGACGGGCAGCTGCGGCGCGCCGCCCGGCCGCCGTCCGTCGCTTATGTAACGGCCTACCCGTCAGCCCATTACGTAAACGGGCGGCGGCCGCGCGACCGCCCAATCGATGCGTCCCGGGGGCCGTCCCTGGCTGGAGAGCGATGGAGGCCTGATGCTGGAGTGGGGGAATGGCGGTGCCTGGAGATAGAGATGGCGGTGCCGGGAGACAGAGATACTGGTGCCTGGAACGGAAGGAGGGAGGTGTTGCGGCTTGGTCCGTGGTGGACGGGGATGCCTGCAGCGAGGAGGATGAGGTGGTGTCTGTTGGAGGAGGAAGTTCTGGTGCGCGGAGCGGGAGGAAGGGACTGGTGCCTGGAGCGGCGGGGTTTCTGGAGGGGCTGGCTTCGGGGACAGCCCAGCGGTCGGCCTTCGCTGCCCGTCGCTTCCCCTAAGCGCTGACCGGTGTCACCGGGGTGGCCTGCCGGATGTCGCCGGCCGGTTATAACCTGTGCTCCGATCATTTCGGCGTCCTAGCCAGCTAGGGACTGCGGTCCACCGCATCTCGTTGAATGGGAGCTTTCGCCGAAGCCGTCAAAGAGCTGAGGCGCTTTGTCCGGCCGGGTGGTGCGGCTCGCGTGTAATCCGCCCTGGCATTGGCTGCATGGCTCGGCCTGGTGAATAATCCGACCCTGCATTGGCTGCATGGCGCAAGCCACCGTTTTATCCACCCTGTGATTGGCTGTTGGTGAGGTGCCGTGGGTGCCCTTCCCCTCTTCTGGCGATGGCCTCGGCGTCTTCCTCGCTGGGCAGACTCGTCTGCGGCATGTTCTAGTGTGCTCCGTCTGCTTCGTCCGACCTGCCTCGGTCGGCTCTCTGTTCTCTCGGCCCGGTGCCGCTAGACCTGCCCCTCGCCAAGCCCCTTGTGCTTTCTGATCGGCCCCGTCCGGCCTGGGCCGCCCCGTCTGCCCTCTGAGACCGACCTCATCACGCCTGCCACGCCCTGAGCTCACCTGTGTGGATCTGCTCGTCATCACAGCACCGGTGTGATCGCCCCCGTCTGACGGCTCACGCGTTCTCCTGTTGCAGGACGTGCCGTGCGCGCGCACTGAGAGCCGCACCGTATCGGTGGATCATAAGCTGCTGCGCATCATGGAGCGCTGCCACGCGGCCGTCAAGGCCCTGAAAAGTAAGGCTGGGCTGGACGAGCTCGCCGTGGTTAATCGACTGGCCGCTAGGCGAATGGCTCGCTTAAGCACCGGCACGCCCTCAGAGAACTGAGTGCGGGAATGCTCGCCCGTGATGGCACCCCGTGAGCGCGCCCTTGCTGCACCTGCCGATAAGACGCGCAGGTCACCACCTGGCCGCATGGTGACTGGCCGTGTGTTCCTCTAGGAGCGTGTTCATTACCGTGTGTCCACTAGGAAAGTGTCCAGAAGCGTGTCCAGCCAGGACGGACAACACCGCTGAGACGAGCACCGCTCGTCGGGCTTTGTTTCGGCCAGTCGCTCGGTGCGCCGCGCCCTCTCGCGTGAAGCGCGGTGTTCGACGCTGCGCCGGTGTGTCCGTCAGCGTTGTTTACGCGCCCGCGTCGGCGAGCGGCCAACCCAAGGCCGCAGTTTTTTCATGGCGTTTTCGCCGAGCGCCGGCGCCGGTTTTGAGCGCCTGCCCGGCCTGCCCGGCAGCGGGGACGTCCCGAAAGGGACTCCCCTGAAGGGACTCCCCCTGACCGGCGCATTACTTTCGCAGGGCGCGAGGGGAAGCAGCACGTGCGGACTGTGGCGGACGGCCAGGCGAGCCGGGACGACTTCGAGTGTTCGCTCTGCTACCGGCTGCTCTGGCACCCGACGTCCACCCCGTGCGGCCACACCTTCTGCCGCTCGTGCATCGACCGCTGGCTGGATCACAGTCCCACCTGTCCGCTCTGCAAGATGGCTCTGGACGAGGTAGGTGGGCGCGCGCCAGGCGGTAGCGCTGTGGAGTTTTTGCGTGGCGCCTTCAGCCGCTGGCGGGAGAAGCTTGGCGCTCAAACGCCTGTGTGAGGGATCTGCGCCATCCGCTCCGGCGCCTGCTTTGTTTTGACCTTCGCGCTTTTACTGTGCGTGTGGGTAAGTGCTTGTGCGTAAGCGTGTTGATGTGCGTCTGTCCTGTCGCCGGGGGCCTGCTCCCGCTCGCATCCGGCGGTCGGCGGGACGGCACGGCGTCCCGTGACGCGTCCGCGCGCCGGCCGGGGTGTCGGCCGTGTTCGCGCGGCGTCAGCGGGCGGCGCACGGGACCCGCGCCGCCTCTGACCGGCGCGCGGGGCCGCGCCGTTTCTGACCGGTGCGAGGCCGCTCCGCCTCTGATTGCCGCAGGGGGGGGGGGGGGGGGGGGCAGCGCCGCTTCTGACCGGCGCGGGGGCCAGCACCGCCTCTGACCGGCGCGGGGGCCAGCACCGCCTCTGACCGGCGCGGAGACCGGCGCCGCCTCTGACCGGCGCGGGGCCCGCGCTGTCTCTGATCGGCGCGCGGGGCCCACACCGCCTCTGACCGGCGCGCTCCGTGTGCCGCAGTTTCTGGCCGATCGGGGCCGCGCCACCACCACCTTCCTCCACTACGCCATGGAGACGCTGCTGGCGGTGGATATGAGCGAGCGACAGCGCGTGCACGAGGAGGAGATGCTGGCCGACTCGCTGGCCGGCCAGGACCTGCAGCACGAGATCCCGGTGTTCGTGTGCACGCTGGCGTTCCCGACGCTGCCGTGCCCGCTGCACGTGTTCGAGCCACGTTACCGGCTGATGGTGCGACGCAGCATGGAGAGTGGCACCCGCGAGTTCGGCATCTGCATGCCGAGCAGCTCCGACGCGCACGGGTCAGTGGCGCCGCCTCCGGGGCGGCTGTGTACCGCTGCTGGGGTGGGGGCGGTGGGCGGGTGGTGGGGCGGCTGTGTACCGCTGCTGGGGCGGTGGGCGGTTCGATCCGGGGCCGACGCGGACCGCCGGTGGACCGTGCCAGGGTGAAAGGGCGGGTCGGTGACCAGCGTGCCCTAGTGCGCCCTGGTAGATGGCAGGGACGTGAACATTAGGTCGTGCTGCCGGAGCCCCCTGTTCAGCCCAAGACGTATTGCTTCTCTCCTTAACCGAGATGAGCAAGCCGACGTTTTGCAGACGTCGTTGCTGGGCGGATGTTGGGCCGCCCCAGACAATACAAAGCGGGCGAACACGTCACTAGTAGGGTGCACGAATGGTGCAAGGTTCAGATGAGCGGTAGCCAATAGCTGGAGGTTGATTTTCAGACCTGTGCTGTGGTGAAGTCCGTCAGCACGAATTTCAATTTACATGTCGCCTAGCTGACTGAATTTGAGTTTTCTTCCGGTGGCCCCGATTTGTGCTGTGACGCCGAACAAGACTTGCACGTAACTCAAACTGCTAGTCCAGGTATTTGTGACGACGTAATGAGCGGCCCTGCGCTTCGACGAATGCTGAAGTCATTGGGCTGCATTTTCTGGGCACACCCTGGGCTGCATTTTCCGCTGACGACTCGGCGCGGTTCATTGCATAACACGCCGACACCAGCTGCGACCTAGTTTGCGGGCCTTTCGCCGGGCCGCCTGTGCGGAGGTCCCCGAGTTCGCGGCCCTCCCGCATCGCCGCCCTCCGCCCTGATCGGCCGCTGTGCGATGGCGCCAGCCCGGAATACGCGCCGCGCCGGCCAGCCTGACTAACCGGCGCCGATCTCTGCCTGGCGCGCTAACCCGCCGCTCCGTCGCCGCAGGTTTGTCGACATCGGCGTGATGCTGGAGATCCGCGACCTGCGCTACTTCCCCGACGGCCGAAGCGTCGTCGACGCCGTCGGCTCGCGGCGCTTCCGCTGTCTGGAGAAGGGTCAGCGCGACGGCTACTCGACGGCGCGCGTCGAGTTCCTGGTCGATCAGACCGTGCCGCCCGAGGGCCTGCAGGGTAAGAGGACGGCGCGCGGATCGCTTCGTCGGCTCGCTCTCTCGTGGTTGAGCTGGTGTGAACTGGGCCTGGTAGTGGGAAGCTGGCGAGTGTTTACGCGCTTCTAAATAACACCCGTCAACCCCCTGGGTACATGTACGTATCCAGCTGAGTCGGCCGGCCTGCAGCACTCGATTTGTGTTATGGGGGACGGTTGGTCAGACTTCGTGTTTAGATCGGTCGGGCGTGTCGCTTCGGCGAGTGCGGTTCTCATTGTGTTGGCCTTGACGACGGCCCGGGAGTTCCCCGTGCTTGGTGACTGGAACGTCCGGCGGATCGCTTGTCGCGGCTTTGGTCGCCGCGCGGCGGACACCGGACCCGCTAGTGTCAGGGGGTCTATGCGCCGCGCTCCGCCTCTGTGCGTTCTGTGCGCCGCTCCGTGCGCCGCGCGCGCGCTCGCCGCGGCCTCACGCCGACTTCGGTCCGACCGGCAGAGCTACAGACGCTGCACGACCAGGTGCGCGGCCTGGTAGAGACCTGGTGGACGGAGCACTTCCGGGAGCGGCGCGACGAGCGGGCGCGCGTCGTCTCCTTCTTCGGGCAGATGCCCAACGTGGAGACGAGCTACTGGACGCTGCCGTCGGGCCCCTCCTGGCTGTGGTGGACGCTGGCCATCCTGCCGGTGCGGTCTTCGCTGCAGGTGAGGGCCAGCAGGTCACCGTGGCCGGGCGGCCGCCGGCGCTGACCGCCACGTGACGTGCCCAGACATGCCGGGTGGTCACGTCTGGGCGCGGCGGCGTGCGCGGTTCAGCGGCGTTTTTGACAGAGTCACGTGTGCTGCCATCATGCCTGACGCGGCGTGGAATTCGCCGACAGTTGTTATCGCATGTGGGATTGCCGAAATGACGTAGGTTTGGAGACTTAGCGCTCCCGCTGTGTGCACGTCCTCGGTTCGTCCACTGGTTGACTGACCTGACCGCGGAAGAGATAATGTCTGACCTCGCCGCCACGGCGCCGACGCGACGCTCGCCCTGACCGGCTCCCGTGCGCCACAGCTGGAGGTGCTGGCGATGACGTCGCTGAAGCTGCGCCTGCGTGTCATCGGCCGCATGCTGCGGCGGCTGGCGCCGGCCGCCTGACTCGGTCTGGTCGCCGGTGCCCGGCCGGAATCGGGCCCCGGCGGCCGTACCCTCTGACTGGCGGGCCCCCGCGCCCCCGCGCCGCCCGCCGGCCTCGCGCGTCGTCCGCGCCGGAGCCGCCTCGCGTCGCGGGCAGGTCGGCGGCGCGAGGGGCCGCGGCGATAGCGGGGCTCGTGGACGGAAGATCCCGACCGCGGCGTGATGTGAGAGGGCGGTTCCCGCGGGAGGACAGGGAGAGAGCGCGAAGTGGATAGTCTCGACAAATGTACTCGTCCGTCAGGGCTGTAGTGTAGTTTGGTGCCTCGTCGTGTATGTACCCTGGTGTTTAGCTCACCTTCCTTTGATTTATTAGATTTGTATGCAAAGCCGTGAAACGTGGAAGAATTGACTCTCAT